CACTCAAGCTAACTAGGCCACGGAGTCCCGCGTACTGTAATGCAGTGCTGGTGCTGTTGATCAAATGCACTTAGGCTGTTAAAATCGACTAATTTCTAAGTTTTCAAATGCTGGTTGTTTGCCCGTTCTCCTAGTGCACTTTTTACGATGTACTTTCTTACTGCTACTGCAATGTTCACCTTTTTGCAGTTTTGTTTTCACTTTTCTCACTAGTACTTTCGCCCAATATAATTTAATTTGAGTTTAAAACCAATTTGTTGATAACTAATATAAGTACGAGTTAAATTTGCACTAAATAACACCATCCACAAATTATGGCGAGCAGTAGTGGATGAATGAGTACGTCGCCTTCCGTTTATGACCAGTTGGAATTTCAGAATGGGGAATGGAATAGCACAAAGCGCAATACGATGACAACTGATGACGTTTTTGGTTTCTTTCACTCTTCTATGCTTCGCCCTTTTTTGCTGCTGAATTGCAGCGGCAGTTGATGTTTTGCTTGGGCTTATATTTCCTTCCAATTCAATTTTTATTTTCATATATGTATGCAATTGCACTTCCCAAGTATTTTCTTGATTAGTATTGAATAATAAATATTTAACCGCATCTCACAATTCCCCAATACAAAATTTATAACAAAGAAAGTATAGAAAGTTTCAGCAATTTATCTTTGTCTATTGTTCACCTTTGCCTTCTGCGTTTCTTGCTTATAATTTTTCAGCTACCAAATAATTTCTTATCCTAATCAAACATAATCATTTAACAATTTTTACGTGTGGAATCAATTATTAAAAACCTCGATACTTTTAAATAAAAAAATTCACAGTTTTTCCAATAAAAATGTGCAACAAAAACCAGACCACTTGACGCAAATTTTGCAATTTTACGAATCACTGAAAAAGCAAAGGCAGGGTTGTATTTTAAGGCTACCATCCCGTATCAGATAATTAGAAAAGTAAGAAAATTTCGCAGTTGAATTTTTTTCCTATTAAGTTTAAAAATCCGGCTTTCTATGACACAAATTCAGGCAAATAGATTTTGGTTATTAAACACAAATTAGGTAGCACACGATTTGAGATGTTTTTCTTAATATTGTTCGCAAATGATAGGGAATATTTTACTGCGATGTGGCAGCACTATTTCGTTTTGCTGCGACATCTACAGTACAATAGCAAAATTCCTCTTCTTTCTTTTCCATTACAGGGTGCAATTACTTAGAAACTTTTGTTCATTCCGTATTTTTTTTTTCATGATGCATTTACGATAATTTTTTTTTTTTGCAGTTTGCTTTTAATCATTTGTCAGTTTTACTTTAATTAATTTTAATTTTTTTTGAGTACGCCGTTTTATTTATATACCCTTTAGCCTATTTAGGGGAAGAATGGCATGAACTTCGAAATTAAATAACTTCTTCTGGACTGTAAAAGAGTAATTTTCCATTTCAGTTTTTAATTTATTTGAACGCAGCTGATTTCAGTGATCTAATTTGGAAAACCTTTAGCTTTTTAAGTCCAAAAATTATATTTCAATTTGTAACGGCATACAAATTCCCCAAAGAGTGTGGTCTTTTCTGCTCAAAAAAATAACCGTTATCAGTCCAACTATTCCCACAACACTGACAAAATTCATCGTATGTCTATTGTCAGAATTATTGCGCCTAAAACACAATATGTATGTATAAACATTGTTTCGCCGTTGTCGCGTACTCAGTAGGTCATAACAACAACGCTGACAATTGTCACCATACGAGAGCTTAAAATAAATTTGCGGCATAGTATTAGGCGCAGTAGTAAATGCAATAGTCAGCCGCTGAGTGTTGTCAGTGTTGTGGGAATAGGGCGGTAAATTGTATCCCTAATATGATTACATATTTGTAAATAATTCATTAGCTATTCATGAGTAAATTATTCGTGATTTTATTCGTTATTTGAAATGGTTTTTCAAAAAAGGAGCAACGATTTACTTTTATTTATTTATTTTGTATTCGGAAAGGTGTTCTGAGAAATAATATTGTAGTCAGCGTAGCTGGAGGGCGGTTAATTCGAATTATTATCTAAATAAAAATGTATTCGAATAATGCCCAACTCTGTATGAAACCAAATGGAAAGTTGATATAAATTAAATTTAAAAAATTAATAAAAGCAAATGAAATTAAATTCAAATAAACCGAATAAAAAACTAGATTAACGTTTTGTAAAGGAGTCTCAGCGAATCTGAATTGGATTCGCGAAATCGGTGAACGAAAATATTTTGAGTTTTGTGTCGCACTTTCTACAAAATTTCATCCCACTATCCGTGAACAACGAAAAAAATGTTGAAAAGAAAAAAATCCCTCTCATCGGATGATATAGCATCGGATATTTCTTTAAGTACCGTAACTCTTCTTACAGTTTTTTTTTCAAAGGCTATGCGTTTGTTTTTGTTTGAGTATATTGGGTTTTGTAGCCGCATAACATTAGAATGGAGAAAATTTATCATAGACCGAAGGAAATTAAACTTCGTTACAGGCATTTCTTGACAATCAACTGAGTATTTTTACCCAAGGAAGACCATTCCTATGAATATGACCATTGTCACTACCGTTAGGACTACCGTTAGAACTACCATAATCATCTTCACTAGAATTAACATTAGCTTCTACCTTTGCCGTTACCATTTTCATTTTATTAAATTGCAATAACCGATGCCATTACAGGTACCACTATCAGTTTTTTTTTCTCTTGTTAAGTAGAAAATTGTCTATCGATAGCGATAACAAAAAATTAAAATATGCTCCAATTTTACCTTGAAAAGTTACCCCAAATTTAAAAATAAACAAATATATCGTCCCCTGAAATGCAAAATAACCAAAGAACGCTTCATTTCCTATGACTCCACTGCATCCCGGTGCCCATATGAGGTACACCCGGTGCCTTTAAGCCACAGTTGGCCACTTCATAGGCACGCGTGCCAAATCTTTCAAAAGCTCTCTGTACAATTTATATAGGGCAGGAACAAAATGAATGCTGTTGTTTTTGTAAGGGAAAGTATCTTGAAGTTTTATTTAAAGTTATATCTGGAAGGCAGCGGTCCCTTAAGCTAATGCGCAGTTCGTTGTCTTTATCCATGACCCTGAGGGTGGAAGGGCACCTCGAGAGCTGCGGTTAGTATTGATCTCATCGCGCCAGTAATGCTCACGTAGGCCAGTCTTTGCACTTGGCGTCTGCCTTCTTCCACCACCAAACAGACGCATCATAAGTTAGAATATGTTCCGAAATAGCACCATACATCCACCTTGGCAGTTTAGGTCCGATGCCCCTGTTCCGCTTCCATTAGTTTCCGGCAGGTCGTGATAGAGGCCCTGGGTTTTTGAATAGCGCTACCTAGATGCGGATTCCATGAGAGCTTGTCATCAAGGATAATTCCGACATATTTCAAATCTTTAGAGAAGTGTATCTTTTCTCCTTGAAGGAATGCTTTTAGTAATTTTTCCCTTTTCATTTTTTTTGGAAATGGCAATATGCTGGCTAACCCATTATTACTGCACCATTTGGCGACTATGTTCAGAGCAGAGATGGTGTCTGCGAACCTAACTCGGATAAGAATGACAATGTCGTTCTCGTAGCCCTGAACTACGATGGACCCTGCGTGCAAAATCTGACTCTGTCACTGGGGTATACATACATACGCTAAATAGTTTGAGCGAGCTCTGGCATACGCAGCAAAAATAGTCGTCATTTGTCCAAGGACGTTATTTTCTATGCCTGATCACCGTGTTCATCGTACGAAGAAGAAGAAGAATGCATAGAAACTTTAAAGTTTTTATTTTTCGAATTTATTTTTAAAACACACATATACAATACTTGTGCTTGCAATGTATAGCTGATTTCGGCAATCAAAATTACTAATTTTAACTATTCTTTCTAAATATTATTGTAATCAAGCGATTTATTAGTTATTAATTAAAGGATGTTGCAACTATCTCAAACGAATATGTATTACAATGACCAAAATTTGTAATCAAACAATGGTTGACTTCACACTTTTATTGCTGATCAATAAATTAGCGAAAGTTGAATCTTTCAATCAACCAGCTGGAAAATTCATATACATACATTAGATATACATACATAAAAACTCACTAAATACATACAATATGTGAGTGAGTAAAAATTTTGGCATAATCACAAAATATAAACTTATTTAATTTTTAGTCACAATAAATCAACATTTACAATATATTTCGCTTTGATTCGTTAATTGCTCGTGGAATATCTTCACTTGGTTTTTATTTTTTATTTATTTTTTTCACATTTAAATTCTACAGCAAGAGAAACAGTAACTTAAAGTTAAAAATTAAAAGAATAAAATAATAACTTAAAATTTGAAATATTTTAACATTAAATATGGTTGGGATTGTTGGATATGTGCTTATTTAAGTGGCTGTGTGTGTGTGTGTGTGTGTGTATACGAGTATGTATGTAGAACTGAGAGTGCGTATGGCCTTATTTAAGTTGTATGTGTGTGCACGGGAGTGTGGGTGTGTGTGTGTGTGTGTGTGTGATACATGATTTTAGATGTGCGTATGCAAATTGAAACAAACTGTAATTATATTTAACTTTCAACTATAACTACTAAAACTAAATACGATAATCAGCATTAAATTAATTTATAATTAACCTGAAGTGGGAGTAGACGACAGCACAAAAGGGGGGAAAACTTAAATTTTAATAATGTAGATGTGTTTGTGTTTTTTTGTTTTGTTTTTGTGCTTCTTACAAATTTAAGGATTTTCGGGTGGCTCATCTGGTGTTAGTAGACTTTGCGGTGCATTATCGAGATCGGCCAAAACGACCGACGGAAATTCTTCATGCACCGAATTCGAATTCGAATCTTCTTCGAGTACGTTCGGCGGCTGACGATTTCCCGGTAGGAATTCATCCAAATTTGGAATATATTCGACAGTGGCGTACTCAGTTGGTGGCGCCATTGATACTGTCTTCGGTATAGCTACTTCAGCAACCTCTTCGACAGCAACAGCCGATGATGGCACTACCGCAACTGGAGGAGCCACGATCTTAGTTAACTCAGAAAGAACCTGCGGCGGTTGTAGTGGTTGCTCTTCTGTCTCCTTGAAAATATCGGCCTCTGCTGTGGGCACCTTTTCGCCAACTGTTGCATCAATTTTGCCATCAAATGTTGTTTCCATTGTATTATTATTCAAATCAATCATATTCGGTGACTCTTTGGCTGTGTTCGGTGCGGAAGTTATGGTGGTTGTTGTCACTGCATATCCTTCAGCCATGTTTGGTTTACCCGCAACATGAATATGCTCAGCATCGCCTGTTTCATTAGTTTCCAAAATTGGCGCTGTTGGCTTTGTCGGTGCTTCCAAAGTTTCGTCCTTCTCATTGGCTATAGGTTCGGGTGTAGTAGTTGTTGTGGTGGTCGTCGTAGTGGAACTTGTGGTTGGAGTGATTGCTGATAATGGCGCAATTATTATTGGCTTTAAAATCGGTTTACCTAGCGGCGCAATCAAAGGTGGCAACACGTCATCTGCATTATTCAATGGCTGATTGAGTAGCGGTACTATGACGACGGGTTTCGCATTGGCCAATACTTGTTGGCTCAATTGCGTGGGTATAATCAATGGATAGTTATTGACAAACAACATTGGCAAAACGGTGCAAACCTCTTGGTCGCTCTCGAAACACTGTGATTTGCCACGTATGCGCGTCTCTTGCTTCAGCATAATGGGGCATAGTTCGTTGAGGCGATTGTCACAGAGTATTGGATTGTCTGCAAGAACACATATGAGTATGGTTCGTTGAAAATTAAGAAATAGAGAAGAATATGGAGCGTAACTCACCATCTAAATACAATTCCAATTTGCCAGGAACATTGTGATTCATGCACCTCGTTTGCGAAACTAATTCGGAAGAAATCGATGATATTTGGTTGCTCGTAAGGTTGGCTTGACACAGTACGGGTAAGCCATGGAAATCCTTTTCCAATCTTGTAATATTATTGTAGGCTGCCTTTAAAATTTTCAGATTTGGAAGGAATGTCTGGAAAATAATAGAAGTAACTGATGTTATTTAAAAATATTAGAAAATTTCGTGGTTATTTCTCTGTAGATAAATTAAAAATTTTAATTTAGATTCCTATTTTTTATTTTTCTATATATACATAAGTGCTATACTACGTAGATTTTACATATTTCATCTTTAAATTTAGAATTTTCTCGTAATCTGACTGGCTGAAACCATACATACATCGTTTTGTCTTAACCCTTAAATCTTACTTACGAAAATATGTTTTTTTTTAAGTAAACGATAATAGAGTACTTTTTAAAATTTTAATGAAATTAAAAACAAAATGTTTTTGATATTAGAAAGAAAAATTTATTTAGAAACGAAAACAAAAAATTTAAATAGAAAAACCAAATTAGTTCCTAAAAATTGAATGAAATTAAAAAACTTCCTAATAAAATTAAATAAAAAAAATATATATTTTTCTCTTTAAAACAATAACATCTAAAAATTAAACGAAATTTTGCTAAGAAAGCTTAAGAAAAAATACATAAGTTTCTATAAATTAAATGAAATTGAAAAAATTTCTTTTTAAAACAATAAAATTTAATAATTAAAAAAAGTCATATAAAAAAAAATTGAATAAGTTCCTAAAAATTAAATGAAATTCAAATAAAAATACTTTTCTTTGTAAAACAATAAAATGTAAAAATTGAAAGAAAATTAAATTAAGAAAAAATAAATAAAATACAAGTTTCTATAATTAATAAAAATAATATATATATGTAAAATTTAAAAGAAATTGCAATTAAAGAAAAATAAAATAAGTTTCTAAAAATTAAATGTAATACAAATTTTTTTATCTGTAAAACAATAAAATCTAAAACTTAAAAGATAATTAAAGAAATGAAAAAAATTGAGTTTAAAAAAAATTTAACTTCCCAAGGATTCGAAACGCGGATCTCTTGAATGCCACGCCAGTGCTTTGCTCACTCGGCCATTGCTACTGTTGGAGCAGCGGCAGCAAAATAATATACATCTCGATTTGCAACATGCATAAATGATTTCTCTCAAAAGAGCTTTTCACCATGAAAGTTGGCAAGGGAGCTTTTTTTGTGTAAGACTTTCGTGGCAGAATAAAAAAAATCGTTCAAACTATCTTGCCTACTGGCCGAAGATCTTGTCCATCCGGTCGTTCCTTCGTTAGTTTAACTCTTCAGACAGACTAATGGCGTGTACTTCCGCTTGAACTATGTTCCGATACCTCCCCATGGTAACAGACATCTTAGTTCTGTGTCCTGTGATCCCTGGACCTATTCCTTCTGGAGTGTTCGCATAGTTTGTATATTAAACCGATGGTGCTCTCCCTAAAATGAATGCGACCCAGGTTGATTGATTGCTTGGATCAATTATAAACCCTTTCCGGAGACTATGGTTTTGCAGCTTAGCGAAAGACTTAACAAAGACCTCGACCGAATCATTTCTCTATTCTTTTGTGCACTACATACATATTATTGAAAATATAACTCACCCTCTCCATTTCCTTCAGTGTCAATAGTTGATTGTGCGACAAATCTAAAATCTCCAACTTCGCCAAACCGATAAAATCCTCCGGTAGAATGCGCTCCAGTTGATTGAAGGACAAACTCAATATACGTAAGCTGTTCAAGCCCATCAAAGCACCATCCAAGGTTTTCAGTTCGTTGTGATCCAAATTAAGCTCGAACAAGTATGAGTTCTGATCGATATTGTTCTCCTGATGACCGGTGAGACGTTTGATTTTATTGTTATTCAACATTAAATGACGCAGCATCACCAAACCACGAATCTCGTTCATTGAGAATTCTTCGATTTCATTATATGAAATATTGGCACGATACAAACGACTCAGCGGCAAAAGGGAATTATTCAAAGACTTGATATGATTAACCGAAAAGTCGATATCCTCCAGCATTTCACATTCCAGAAAATCATCCTGACGCAGATACTCGATCTCATTGTTGAAGGCATGAAATTCGTTCAAGTTCTTCGCATGCTTGAAGATAGCATCAAAGGTGCGTATGCAATTGTGTTGCACATGCAAATTCTCCAGCTTGTGCATGTAGCGCATACTCTCCGGCAGGCGATCTAAGCGATTATTTTGTGCCATAATCAATTTCAAGCGATTCGATTCGGGTAGCTCATTATCCAAACTGCTGATTCTATTCATATTAATGAATAAGGATTCCAATTTGTCCAGATGTCGAAGTGTGCCATTGAGATTTTCGATTTGATTGCGTCCCAGATGCAAGGTAAATAAACTGGTCGGAAATGCGCCCTTATCCAAACGTTTTATATTATTGCTGGGCAAGAAGAGATTCACAACCATTTGTATGCCTTTGAGGTCATCCTGCAGCACGGAACGTATGCGACAACGTCCCATATCGAATGTTTTCACAATTGGCATATGATTCAACATGTGCTTTGGGATTTCTTCGAGTTCATTGTCGCCAACACTGAGATACTCCACATTTGATAACCCTCGAAAAGGTAATTCAGGCACCGATCTAAAAATAGGAAAGCAATAAAAAAGACGAATAAGAAGAGGAATTCATTTAAAATAAGCATTCGTAAAGCAGAAAAAATGGTAATGGTGGTGTATATGTATGTATATGTACATACATAGTATGTACTATGTTTATAAATATGAATGGAAAGCTTCCGACGGCGACAGCGCGTCAACAAAGCCTATATCAGTAGAAACGTACATATATGCATATACTTATGTTATCTTCAAAGAAATACACATGCTTACATATGTACAAAAATATTTAAAAAAAAATTCCATATGTACATTAGGGCGGGTAAAATTTTTTTGACGATGCGCGTATAGCATAGGAGGATTCTACAGGTAAATCTAAACAAATTTAGCGAGGAAACCATTGGTCATTCTTTACGACACTACAGCAAAATGCTTCGCAATTTGGCAAACTCCAAATTGCTTTTAGACCCATGGTTTCTTCGGCAGATCAGCTTAGAATTACACGTAGAATCCTTCTGTGCTATACGAGCATAGTCGAAAAAATCTCCCATAAAATTGACCCGCCCTAATGTACATATCTGTAGGCAATTTATATATATTGATATAGATGTACATAAGTACACTCGCAGTCCCGAAAAGCTTACCATTTTTTCTAGCCACTTCAATTTTCAAAATTTTGGTTCCTAAATTTTGTCATTTCATTTGAGGACGTACCATAATAATAATAATAATAATAGATTGGCGCTTACACATATGTTAGTGTTTGGCCGAGCTTCTCCTCCGGTTTGTGGCGTGCGCCATGATGTTGTCACACAAAGCGGAGGGACCTACAGTTTTACGCCGACTCCGAACGGCGATTGTATTTTTATGAGAAGCTGTTTTTCATGGCAGAAATACACTCGGAGGTTTGCCATTGCCTGCCGAGGGACGACCGCTGTTAAGAAAAAACCTTTTTTCTATATTTTTTGCGATGTTGCTTTGACCAGGGTTTGAACCCAGGTGCTGCGCAGTGGAAGCGCGCACTGCTTACCACTACACCACAGCGGCCGACAAGGACGTACCATACATAAGTAATATTACGAAAAATGTGATTTCGATTCGAAAAATATCAATTCATTAGCCGTCATCGATTCGCCACTTCTCGCTCGCTATGTTTGAGTTCCGGTCGCTAAAAGAAGAATTTTGCATGTGAAAGCAACAACAAAGTTAGCTGGCACGGATAGACGATAGCGAGTTTGTTTGTACCTCATTGAGTTCGTTCGTTTCGCCACTCGCTAACTGTTGGCGAATCGATGACGGCTATTATTATATTTGGGGTGTTCACAGTTCGTTCCAAATAGTGTCTCAAAATGTAGACGTCTACATTTTAAGACGTTTTCTAACCGTAAAATCTGTGGTGTTGTTGTTTCCCATACAAAATTGGAAAACGACGCCGTCTACATTTTGTCAAACTCAAAGGTATGTTTTTTACGCGTCTACATTTTGCAACCTCGCAGCAGAGTTGCATTATGGCAATACTAATCACATTTTTTTTATTTATTGGGCACGTTTTCTGTATTTGCATTTAATTTGAGCGCAATTTCTGATGAAAAGAAACAAATCAAGGAAAAGACAAATATTACAAATTGGTAATTAGGTTAAATAATTACAATTTTTCAGAAACATAATCGAAAGGCGACATATAAAAAATGCACGCAAGGAAGAAATGTCTGGCAACAGCAGCAAAGTTTTGAGACGATTTTGCGACGACTGCTAGAAAGGGGTGCTCACAGTTTGATGCTAAAAATGTCTCAAAATGTAGACGTCTACATTTTCAGACAAATTTGGAACGAACTGTGAACACCCCAATTGTCTCTAATTAAATTGCTTGGCCTGCTGATGTGCAAAAAGGTTTTATTTTTTGAAAGAGTTGCCACCTGCAAAATAAATTATTACAATATGGGTATCAAATGAGATAGTTTTAAAAAGGCTTTACTTTTTAACTGCATGTACGACTGTTGCCACCTGTTTAAAAAATTTAACTTAACTTGAATTAAGGCTAAATTATTATATATTAGCTAAAACAAGAAATATGTATCACAAGATGGGTGTCAGACGAAAGAAGTTTAAGAAGGTTTTGGTGTGAAACTATTTTGTTTCTAAGTTTTAAGGTTGCCAGCTGTTTGAAAAGCCGGATTTAATTAAACTATACATACGTTTTTTGAAATATTAAAATATAGGTGTCAATCGAGAGGGCGTAAAGAAATCTCTTGTTTGAAGAGGTTGCCACCTGTTTCAAAATTTAGATTCAAATTATTTAATAAGTTAAATAAATCATTAAAAGATGGGTATCAATCAAAATGGGTTTAAAAAGGCTTAATTTCTGAACACTATTTCGGAGGGTTGCCACATGTTTAAAAAATCAATTAATTTTAATTGAGGCAATTAGGTTATTGAAATATGTACAATAACAGTATCAGACGAAAGAGGTCAAAGACGGTTATACTTTGAAAATATTTTAAGGCGGGTCGCTACCTTTTGGAAAAGTGGAATGTAATAAAATGAAACACATATTATATGAAATATTAAAATATAGCTGTCAAACGAAAGAGTGTAAAGAAATCTTTAGTTAGAAAATTTTTGAAGTGTTTTAAGTATTTTAAGTTAAATGAATTATTAAAACATGCTATCAATCGTAATGAGTTTGAAAATGCTTTGTTTCTAAGTTATATTCTAGAGGGTTGCCACGTGTTTAAAAAATCGAATCAACTTAGCGCACCAGTCAGTACAATGTCAGACGAAAGATAATTGAGAAGCTTTTGTTTTGAAAATACTTTTGAAGAGAGTTGCCACTTGGTTGAAAAGTCAAATATACTACAAGGTATATGAAATATTAAAATAAGAGTAATACGAAAGATTTAGTTTGAAAATATTTTTGATTAGGGTTGCCAACTACTCGAAAAGCAGTTTTGAATTTCAAAAATGAGATTTTAAATTAAAAGATGTGCAATAAAGCTGTATTTTTTGATGTTAGAACACTTTTTAGTCGTATCGGATGATTTAAACTGTGATTAAATGAAAACCGACACCTCTCTTCACTCAGAAACGGCTTGGCGGATTTAGATAAAATTCGGCGCACGGATCGTTTTTGACTCTGACTAAAATTTGGAATATTTTTTAGGTTTTTGAAGAGGAATTAAGAAGTAAAATTAAATTTTTGCGGGCTCACTTGTATGTATTACATACTTGTGACAGCCAGTGTACATATTTATATGCCACCATGCTTCGGTTTCTTTGGAGTTATCAATTGCACAGCACCGAAACCGCCAACGCCACCGGCATCGAGAGCAACCACGGTGGGCAGGAAGCGAAGATAGGTTGCATAAAAATGTCGACAAAATCTGAAAGCAGGGTTGTATTTGTTGATATCTTAAGGTTAAGAATCCGCTTAAATTGAAATCCTAGCTGCTCCTGTTTTAAAGATATCCACATTTTATACACTTCTGATAGGATATATTTGCAAAAGAGGAAGGCGTACTTCTCGATAATTAGAGCATATTTATACGAAAAGAAATCTCATACAAATCTGTTCCCCTTTTTTAACTCACTAAAACGGATCAAATCAATGTGAAACATTTTCATTTTTTCCTACCGAGATCGAGATTTATACAACTTAGATAAAACACCACAATTACCTTTTTCTGTAGCGTGAACTTTCTCATTACAAACACTTTCAATATCGCAATATATGTATGTATGTATACAATATTGTATGCTATATAATACGGTAGTAATTTTTTATTAAAGGCTATAAGCAAGTAGCGCAGGCAAGTCGCACTGCGCTTGTGCAAGAAATGAAAATGCTCTAACTTAGGCCAACGGTACTCCTCATAATAAGTAAATAAATTCAAAGCTTGTATGAGATTTATTTTGGTATTTATGTACTCTTCTGTCAGGAAATAATGACTATTGTACATCCAGAACACAAATGCGATCATAAAGAAAATCGCATGAAAGTATGCGCTTTGTTTGTAGGGCTGCCAGACGTCCCGGTTTTCCCGGACATATCCCGGTTTTAGACTATTTGTCCCGGTGTCCCGGTCCAACCTTAAAATGTCCCGGGTTTCATTTAAGTGTCCCGGTTTTCGATTTGATTGCACAACTTTTGCTTAAAAATGACTACGCTGAGAGCAAAAACGCGTTGTAATGTTAAGAAAAATTTTATGAATTTGCTGGGGGAAATAACTCATAGTAAACATGAATATTTTTTATTTGATTATCGTTTTGAAATTTCGTACTTAAAAACAATACTTTCATACCACGCACACGTGGTGTTGAATTAAACTGAACAATTGAATGCACATCTACATGTCTGGCTGTAGCTGAGTGCACGAAGATGCTTGCCACAATTTGCTAATTTCCAGAGCGTCAGGGTTCAAATCCCATTACAGACAGCATGGAATTTAAATAAATTTTTTTTTTAACTTAATTATGAAAAAGCATCCGTTAAGTGCAAAGCGCTTTATTTTAATATTGGCGTATTTCAATTGAATATTTCTATACTAAATACTAAAATTTGTATACTTAAATTATTACGAGTTGGGTTGATGCTCTTTCATATGCGATTTTTTTTTTAAATGTAGCACGTTTTGCATAAGCAATAGTTGATGATTAATATAAGTATGTACCTAAATACGTTAAAATGACATGCACAGAGTTTTACAATTATAGCAAAAGCCAGAAGTTTTGAAACAAGCTCACAGCAACGAAACAAATGACTGATATTTTAATGTTACCTTGTATTTATTTATTTTTTTTTCGTGAAACCTAGATTACTTATAAGTACCGTGCCGTACAAAATTATTGGCTCGGAGACACTTTCATCTGATCACAATTTCTAATCAGATCTTTTAGAAAAATGTTTAAAATGTAGCTTTTGAGCCAATTAGTAAAGTGCAAGTCTGAAGTTACCAGAAAATTTCGTTGATTTTTTGCAATTATTTATTTTTTGCTGACAGTGTCTTCCACATACAAAAAAATGTCGAA